CCCTTCCTCCCTCTCTCCCTCCCTGTCTTCTTCCCTCCCTTCTTTCCTTCCACAGGCTCTCATTTATCCCAGGCTGGCTTTGAACTGTTTACGTAGCTGAGAATAACCTTGAACTTCTGATCTTTCTACCTGAATGCTGGAATTAAGCATATGCTACCACAGTTGGTTTATATGGTGCTGGGGATCAAACCCAGGGCTTTCTGCATTTTAGGCAAGCATTCCACCAACTAAGCTTCATCCCAGCCCTGATTTAATTCTTTATATAAAAATAAAAAGTATTGCCAAGTGTGGTGGCACATGGCCTTAATCCCAGCACTCAGGAGGCAGAGGCAGGCGGATCTCTGTGATTTTGAGACTAGCCTGGTCTACATAGTGAGTTCCAGGCCAGCCAGGACTACATAGTGAGACCTTGTCTCAACCTCCCTGCCCTCCCCCAAAAAAACCCAAGGAAGCAAAACAAAAATAAATGAGTACATTCATCTCCTTTTTTGTTTGTTTTTTTGAGACGGTCTAGCCTGGAATTCAGTACATAGATCAGGCTGGCCTTGCTCTCTGTGAGATCTGCCTGCCTCTGCCTCCCAAGTGCTGAGATTAAAGGTGTGTGTCACCTTGCCCAGCAATTCAGCAGGTCATCTCCTTATGCAAATTTGCTTGCATCTTTAAAACATATTTTTGATTATTTTATGTGTATGAGTGTCATGCCTGCATGTATGTAACGGTACCCATGTTGTGCAATGCCCATGAAGGCTGGAAGAGGGTGTCAGAGCCCCTGGAACTGGAGTTAGGAATGATTGTTAATCACCATGTAGGTGCTGGGTAACTGAACCCGGGTCCTCCTTCAAGAGTAGCCAGTGAACTTAATTGCTGAGCTTTTGCTTTCATCTTTAGTAAACGGCAAAATTATATGGATATGAAAGAATTGGGTTTTTTTATTTATTTTTTTTTAACACTTATTTATATGTAAGTGTTTGATTTGACCACTGGGGAATGTATCTCAGTGGTAGGCTGCTTGACCTGCACACATGAGGTTCAATCCCTGGTAGTGGCAAAAAATTGCTGTGGGGTGCTTCACCAGAGAAGACCACTCAGACAAAGTTTTGCCAAATGAAACTCGTTGCTGGCCAGAGCTACTACACAAGGGTGTCAAAACCCAAGTGTGTAGCCCCAGCCGTCTCTATGGTAAGCTTTTATACAGAGAAAACCATAACCAGGGGTGAAAAAGTTTAAGTTCCCAAGCTCACAGGTGCAAAGCCCCTTAACAATTTCTATTCTATTAAGTAATAATTACTGTTCTGCAGAAGCAAGGCAAGCATAACCTATAGAAGCCATAAGTCTGCAGTTAGCAGGTACACTCTGGGATGCTCTGACCTGTTCCCAAGACAACCAGATCCTGCTGACATGTGTTCCCATACCCTAGGCCAACTCCCTGATAATTTCAGAGACTACAGTCAGCCTAAACTTTAACATGGCATAGCTATGGTCAAGAAGGTGCCCTATTACAGATGATGATAATAATAATAATTAAAAAGATGCAACCATTGAGTTGAGGATGCACTGGCAATACTTTAGGCCAGTGATATGGATCAGTGGGTAGAGGCACTTGTAGCCAAGACCGAGGACCTGGGTTTGATCCCTAGGACCCACATTGTTGAAGGAGAGAACTGGCTTCCAAAAGCTGTCCTCTGACTTCTACACATGCACCATGGTTTGCATGCTCACAGATGTATGTGCACATGCAAATATACACACACACTAAATAGTGATAAAATTGTTTTTAAAATGTGATTTATTGGGACTGGAGAGATGGCTCAGGGGTTAAGAACACATGCTATTCTTCCAGAGAACCCAGGTTTGATTCTTAGCACCCACATGGCAGTTAACAACTGCTACAACTCCAGTTCCAGGGGATCTGATACCTTCTTCTAGCCTCTGTGGGACATTGCGCTCATATGGTGCACTTACATACATGTAGGCAAAACACTCATACACATGAAATAAAAATAATGAATAAAATACTTAAAAATAAATAAGTAAGCTGGGCATGATGGCATATGCCTTTAATCCCAGCACTCGGTAGGGAGAGGCAGGCTGATCTCTGAGATCAAGGCCAGCCTGGTCTACAAAGCCAGTTCCAGCCTAGCTGAGGACACAGAGAGACCCTGTCTCAAAAAAGACAAATAAATAAACAAAAAAACAAGGAAATAAATAAATAAAGATTTGTTTTATATATTTTATTAAGGTTTTTTTTTTGTTTGTTTGTTTTTTGGTCTTTTTGAGACAGGGTCTTCCTATATTCTCAACTGACCTGGAACTCGCTGTGTAGACCAGGCTGGCCTCAAACTCACAGAAATCCTCCTGCCTCTGCCTCCCAAGTGCTGGGATTAAAGGCATGCACTACCACACCTGGCTTTATTAAGCTTTTTTAAAATTTTTATTTATTATTTTTATTTTATGTGTACACGTGTATTGCCTGCAGGTAAGTGCGCCCATGTCATGCAATGTCTGCGGAGGTCAGAAGAGGCTGTCGGATCCCTTGGAACTGGGGCTATGGACAGTTGTTAACTGCCATGTGGGTGCTAAGAATCAAACCCGGGTTTGAACACGCGTCTTCTGCAAGAACAACCATTGTTCTTAACCGCTGAGCCATCTCTCCAGCCCCTGTTTTATATATTTTATATAGCTATATACCTCGAGCTGCATAAAAATTTCTCAGGCAAAAGGAGTGATGAGAAACATTTAAGAAGCCCTGGGCACCGGGCATGGTGGCGCATGCCTTTAGCCCCAGCACTTGGGAGGCAGAGGCAGGAGGATCTCTGTGAGTTCAAGGCCAGCCTGGTCTACATAGTGAGTTCCAACCAGTTGGGGCTACAGGGAGACCCTGTCTCAAAAAGGAAAAAAAAGAAGCCCTGGGCTAGAACATCCTCGTGCCTGAGAACTCTCATCAGTTGTGATCGTCTAGCTTCCGAGAGAACCAGGCTGTCATCACCATGCCTGTTTAATGTGAACCAGTCTTTATTTTGCACTTGTGTGGTGCATTAACAAATTTAACATACAAGATAGCATTACATATTGCAGGTTAGCGTCACAGCATTACGCAATGTCACACAGTTCATGTTAGCGTTTTCAGGTTTTTCCTTTTTTAATTTGACACTTTTATTTTTGAGTTTTATTTTTACAAGAGAAGACACAAGGTAAAGAAAGACGACCACTTTGGAGAGGGACCATGGTGAGGGCAGTGCCACTGTCATGACCACATTAAAAGTTTTCCATTTCCCTCGCCTAAGCAGGTCACTCCTGTCCCGCAAACCAGTTCTATCTGGTTTTCTAGTGGGAGCACTATCCATCCATAAACACGTACACATGGCTGTGCTCCGCCGAGAACTGGAAAGAAGGAAGTCATAGGGGATGTTTATTATTCTGAAAAGCCTTCATAGTCCCAAAGGAATCAAATCCACATAGAAGGACTGGCTCTTAGAAAATCTGGAGTGACCCTTCCTTCACCTACTCCTAACCACAAGTGCCTTGTGCAAAAGCTAGGATGTGGCTCTCCTGTCTTTCAACTGAAAGGAAGAGGCATTCTGCCTCCCCCAGATCAGTGAGCTCTGGAAAGAACCAATGTGAAAGCCAAAGTCAGCTAAGAAGCTTTAGGACATCCAAGTCCAGGGCACAATGATCAGGCCTGAGGTAGGAGGGAGGAATCCCGTACTATCCACCCCTTTGCCTTTTCTGGCAAAGACACTGAGGCAGCTCCTAGCCATGGAACGACTGGTTCCTCCCCTGTCACCTCACCACCCGCTGCTCCGTAGACCCAAAGAATGCAAGGAATAAAGCTGCAAGGGGATGGGGAAGAGAGGGGTGGGGTGAGGCTGTTTTCCCAGACTTCGATCAGAGCTACAGAGGCACACACAGCAGGACAAAGACCAGACTCCACCTATCGCTTTGCATTGTTTCTGGGAAGGAAACAAAGCAGGCTGCTCAGCGATTTCTGATCTTTAGACATTAAGGCGATGAAGAGGAACCATTGAAATTTTTTCCTAATGGGGCTTAGAATGTTCCTGTCAGGTTTTCATTAAACTATCTCAAAATGCAATTTTAGAAAACAAAAAGTATTTTCTACGTATGATACAATATTTACATCCCATGGGTTAAAGGACAGAGACTATTGGTGTGATCCCAACTGATGGTGAGACAGCAAGTCAGATTATGGGGGATAAAGGCCGACAAGGGCAAGAGCGGAGAGTGGGCTTTGTGCCTGTACAGAACTACTCTGTATTGCCCCAAATCTGCCTGAAAGAAGCAAACAAAAGGATTGATGGGGGAGGTGGGGTGGGTTCAAATCTACAAGCACTAAGGGAACACCAAAGGCAGCGTCACCACCCTCTCTCTCCATGGAGACTCACCTTTTCTACCCCCTTCTCAGAAGCAAGCTAGCAAGCTGATAACCTTGTATGGGAGTAGACACTTCAATTTCAGCTAATCCTGCAAGCCCTGTTTCAAGCTATTTCTTATTTGATTGAAGTCCTCTTCAGACTGTCAAAAATATGTCCTGACGTCTCAAGTTTGCCCTATGAAGTCTCCACACTGGAGACCTGGCTGCACTAAGAATGACCTGCATTTGAATTCTAGCATGAGGCTGAAGCTCTGTGCTGTCCTGCCCACTGGCAAGAGGAGGATGGAGCTCTGGCTTCCCAACCCTTCACCACGTCGGGGAAACTCTCAGTTCTCAGCACTATGACTTGGTATTGAGGAAAATGATGCTCTGAAAGCATGTGTATCACTTTTCCTTCTCATTCCCATTATAATTTTCTTAAAGAGCCATTACTGAAAATTTCGAGGAGAAAGAATCATGTCTGAGGGCCTGTTTCCTTATGAAGCAAAAACTACATTAAACATCTAAATTGCTTTAGGAGACTCTAAAGCTTCTCCTTGGTCTGCATTTCTGGAAAAGTAAAGGCCGATGTAATCTTACAAACCTCTCGGGATGGCCAACCCATCAACCAAGAAATGGCTCTGATGACCGCAGAAGGGCGCAGGAGCCGTGGGAGACGTCTGGCTTTCTCTCTCATCCCTCTACCTGCAAACGGCATTTGGGCTCAGCTGCATGTGCTCACTGGTACTTCCCTGAGGCTGAACTTGAAGTCTCTAAAGCTCCTTCTATAGAAATCAGCTCCTTTTGTAAATCCATTCTACCTCGTAAGTCTGCCACACATCATTTGGGGCTACCAGTAGCCACAGATGCCTGCTGCCCCTTTAAGCAGGAGGCTGACAGCAGATATCCCATTCTCAATGACTCTGGCAAGCCCTGCCTCAGTCATCCTACCTTTGCTTCTTGTCTTATCACAGACCTCCAGACTCTGAACTCAGACAAAGTGCAGCGACGTGAGGGTTAACAGGAGAAAAGGTTGGGGTGATAAAAACACAAGGTTTTACAAGAGCAAAATTTTCTTCTGCAATGATAGGGAGTGGGAATAACTCTCCAGAGAAGCCCAATAAAAAGAGGCCAATTTCAGATAATCGGTAAGTACAATTCGTCACAAAACACAATTTTCATGGATTAAATCTGCAACCTGACATTGGGGGTTAGGCTAATTTCTTCAGTTTGTGTTAGACATGCAAGTAAAAGGTTACATTGTTATATATAGACTTGTAGGGGTCTTTCTCTTTCCCCCTCATTTAAAAAAACAAAACAAAAGAATTTCTAGTGCCTTGCAAAAGAGAAAAAAGTCATCATTGCTAAGAACTGATCTGCAGTTGTGTCATATGGGATGTTCTTTGTGTGGTTTGTTTTGTAAGAAATTTTCTTCTACAACTAAAATGAGGTTTTGAGTCTGCTTCTCTGTCATCTCTCCCCGCCATGTGCCTCCCCAGCCTGGCCTTGGGGTTAGAGGTGAGAAAGGATTAGTATTCGCTCAGACTGTGCCACTTGGCTATGGGCTTGCGGGGACTCTCACAGACCTCTCGCCAGTGTTCTGCACCACTGGTTGTGACACTATGTGCCCCCACAATCAGCCTCCCCACCACCTCGTTCTTAGTAGTGCGATCGAAGTCAATGACGAGGAAGTCAATGCTGATGTCAGGCAGGAGGTCGGAGGGGATGTCATAGATGAAGGACTCATTGAAGACTGGGTTCAAAGTGCACTTCTTTACGTGGGTTTTCTTCTTGGCAATACGCTTTCTGCCGTAGTAGACATTCACCTTGACATAAGGATCTGGGGCCCCCAAAGAGAAGAAAAAAGAGAGACAGGCCTATAACACAGTCCTAACTGTGCAAAGGTGGTTTTGTGTTAGAAAGGAGGGGACTCTATTCTTTGCACTTTTACTGACCATCAGGCCTTCTGTGATTGTACAATAAATGAACTCAGACTACATAGGATCCTGTCTGCCTAGACAGGGGGCCAGGAAAACCAAGCAGGTTTAGGTCTGAAGAAATCTTATGATGCCAGGAAGCATTTTCAAGGACATGGGGGTGAACAAGTACCTGCAATCTTTTCCAGAAGTCTCACCTAGGAAAATTTAGAATGCCCTCAATGGTTCAACCCAAACACTACCCCAGCTGGGGAAACCCATTGAGCCCATAACCAGGGAGAAAAAGTAGACAGAGAAAGGACTGGGTAGACTGTGAAAGAAGGGAATATGGGGGTATGTCAGGGCCACAGTCAAGGATGGGTTGGCTTAGACTGTCAGAAGTAGGTTGAAGTAAATAGCTGCTACCTGAGAGACCGGTGATGTCCATCTTCGGCAAGTGTCTGGCTTTGAGGACCACCACTGTCATTCTCTGTGCCACAGGCTGGTACGACAGAGACACTTGGAGCTCCCCTCTGCTAATGCACTTCTGTAAGGAAGAAACAGCAGGTGAGTATTCTGGCAGAAGAATAGGGAGCTACACAGACATGTACAAAGGAGAGGAAAGAGTCTGCAGATGGGCAGAAAATATAGTCACAGGCCTGATATCACAGAACCATGAAAATAAGCCTGGTAGTCCAGGCACTCTCAATCTACACTGGTCTCGATTCAAATCCTGTCTCTCTTTCTTTCTTTCTTTCTTTCTTTTCTTTCTTTCTTTCTTTCTCTCTCTCTCTTTCTTTCTTTCTTTCTTTCTTTCTTTCTCCCCTTCCTTCCTTCCTCCCCCCTCCCTCCCTCCTTCCTTCCTTCCTTTCTTTTCTGTGTGTGGTGCTGGGTTACCATTTAACTATATCCCAGCCCCTGCTAACTCTTTTTAGAGAAGTCTCTTATGTATCAAGACTGTTTCAACCTCATTACATTGTCAAAAATGGCCTGGAACTCCTGATTCTCCTGCCTCTGCCTCCACCTCCACCTGAGTGCTGGGATGACAGGCTTCTCTTTCTTTTTTAAAAACAATTTTTATTTGTTTACTTATTTTATGTGTACGAGTGTTATGCCTGCATGTATGTAACTGCACTGTGCTGTGTACTGCCTGAGGAGGTCAGGTGAGGGCATCGAATCCCCTGGAACTGGAGTTAGGACTGTTGTTAGTTGCCATGTAGGTGCTGGGATTTGAACTTGGGTCTTCTGCAAGAGCAGACAGTGCTCTTAACTGCTGAGCCATGTCTCCAGCCCCTGCTACTCTTTCCTGCCGATGGTTTTGGACAAGGTTTTCAACATGTCTGTGCTTCTGCTTCCTTATCTGTAAAGCAGAAACCTCCTTCATAGGATTATTAGGGAGACTGAATACATTCATTTGTAAGCAGCAACTGCACCCAGCATGTAGTATTTTCTTACTTGGTGACTGTGATTAAAAAAAAAATTGGAGGGCGCGGAGAGATGATCTAGCAGTTAAGAGCACTTGCTGCTCTCCAGAGAATCTGAATTTAGTTCCCAGGCCCACACTGGACAGCTCACAGCTATCTGTAACTCCAGCTCCAAGACATCCTATTCTTTTGACTTGAAAGGGCACCTGCACATGTGTGGCGCTCACTAGCACAGACACATACACACGCTTGTCCTGCACTCATGGCTTCAGACCTTTAGCAATAAATGAATAAACGAGCAAACCCAAAATGCCAACCAGGGTAGCATGTGCCAGTAATCTCAGTGGTGAAATAGAGACAGGCAGATTCCTAGAACTCAGTGTCTAGCCAGCCTAGCCAAATCCTGAGCTCCAGGTTCATTGAGAGACCCTATTTCAAAACACAAGATGGAGCAGGTGGGATGGCTCATTGGGTGAAGGCACTTGCTGCCAAATTTAATCCCCCAGAATCCACATGGTGGAAAGAGAGGACTGGCTCACACAGATTGTCTTCTGACTGCCATGTGAGCACTGTGGCATGCACCCTCAACCCAAAAAAGCTAATAAATAACTGTAAGACAAAAATGTGTACAGTGATCAAGGTGGATATCTGATGTCAACTGTAGGAAACCAGGATGACATGCCCTAGAGTGAGATGGACCTGAAACTTTTTTTTAATATTTATTATTATTATTATTATTATTTTTTTGTGTGTGTGTGTGTATGTGTGTGTGTGTGTGTGTATGATGGCATACATGTGGAG